TGTCAGCTCCGCTGCCATTGTAAAGGGGGGAAGGCGGGAAGCCACTGGGTAAACATGTTAATGTGCTGGAACGTTTTTAATTTCTTTCGCTGTGCCTTATCTCTTAACTGGGCTTCTGACCTTGGTACCTCGATCCTGTTGCTTCGCTGGGAATTTAAACCCATTAGTTTAGGCGTGTTGCAGCTCATCCTCTGATTGGCCTAATTCCATCAGGGGGACCCAGTTTTGAACTTATATCTTCCCCTCTCCCACCCTGGTAGTTAGATCTAACACTGAATGTATGGACAGATGACCTGCCTTTATTGTACTCAATAAACTTGATCCTTCTGAAGGAACGTTGTTGAGACTGATTGCTGTGAGACTCTGACACCAGTCCGGCGTCTTTCAGTTCACTGAGGGCCAAACAGTTTGGAGACCCTGACCTCATGCACACAAACACTGATCAGCCTGCTGGGACATGTAGACTCCCTCTCTAAACCTTTCAATTTACCCCTTCCCCAAAGCACTGGAAAAAGCTGAAGGTACAGGAGCATCTTTCTTTGAAAGTTTTTATGAAGAAAACAAAGTTTAGAGCAGCCCCTGTGGGAGAGGAGGAGGAGAGAGAGAGGTGCGAATAAGCAGTTGTGCGCATATCACTAACTACTTTTTAAAAAATGGCGGACAGAAAACAAGAGATTGGTCAGACCTGCCTGATGGCTTGCGTGCGCAAGAGTGTGATCAGACAGCAGGAAATCTGTTTTGGAACCAGCTCAGACCAAGACCAGACTTTCTCTGTTATCAAAGAAACATGCAGCTGGGGGAGGGGGGAATGGACTCAGACGACTGGGGATAGACAAACAGATGTTGCTGTCTGATCGTGCACTTTAAATCTGTAAGGGAACAGCAAGGGCAACAGATCAAACTGCCCGTGTGAACACAGCCTTTGATGCTGGAAATTTAAGCCATCTCAAGTTTATTGGAAAGGAGGGCTAAAAACAATATCAAATCTTATAGTTGCAGCTCTGTATGAGATCTCTCCTTCATGTGTAGAGCACTCCAACCAAACCATACCATGTGATAGAATGCAGTGGTAAGGAAGCCTCACTCCAAAAACACATGTACAAATACTGGGCCACCATTATAGAGCGGTTTTCAGCAGCACCTGAAATATTTAACATACCCAGTGTTTTTGCAAGCATAAAACAAATGTTTTCCCACATTAGCTAAAACTTGAGGCATGCGTGCACACACACACCCTTCTTTATTTTTTTTTAGATGGTTTTTACATGAATACTTACAGCAATATGTTAAAAAAGATACAGTTATGTCTCTTCAGTTCTTGGCATCACTGCATAGCAGTCACAGCATTTCACACAATCTATTGCTTTCTGTTTGCTTGATGCATGCTTATACATGCATTTAGCAGCTGAATCTTGGTCCCATGAAGCCAGTGGACACTGACTGTGGGATCGTAACTTGGCCCATAAGGTGTGTGTGTGTGTTCAACAGTAAACATATGGTTTTACGAATCTTTGTTTATAAAGGTTAACAATATATTTTATTCCCAAATCAAACTTTAGTTTCTGCATGTAAAATCTTGTGTACCTAAAACACCAGGTGGATTGCTGAAATATTTGCACCAATGCAAAAATAAGGTTATCTGCAGTACTGCTTGTTCTATTTTTTTGCATTTATTTTATTTTGCTGTGATATAATAAAAAGTCTGTTTTATTACAGATTAATATCTCAGACCCATACTACAGAAGGAACCCACATTGACCAGGGAATATCCTGTGCTTGGGACTTGGCTTAGTCAATAAAATTTGTGATAGAACAAACCCTGAGGGGTTTCTGCTGCCATTTTTCCACAGGGGGGAAAAAAGATGAGAACTGGCCCTGAGAAACAGTTCTTGTTGTTTGGTTAATGGGAGGGTGGGCCATCATCTTGCAGTAGATTTTTTCATATAGATAAAAGGCTGCAATTTCTAAGCGCATTTATGCTCATCTATGTTTCTTGGAAATCAGTGTGACTTCTAACACTTAGAATTTAGGTTTGGAGTATAATTCAGGTAGAGTTTTGAAGTTCATTGTCAGTACCGCATAGAAAATGGCCCACTTGCCACCAATAATGAGAAGAGTCTGACCAGGCAATCTCTAGAAATTTTGGGAAATGACTTATACATAGGGTCACCTAACCCTATTTATTTGTTCTTCCCTATCTTATTTTCTGATAAATCTTCAAAAAGGTATATTGATACTGTGGCAGATAATAAATGTTAAGAAGAATGCAGACTTAATTAGTTCATTATTACCCCGTTATTCTCCTTGTAATACCTGGTGGTGAAAATTTTGGACAGTTTTTGTTAAACTCTTTGGGAGGTTGGGCCTATTGCCTACATCCTATGTAGAGCTTACTGAGATGTTGCTTTCCTTCTCCAAAGACAATGTGGCTTAAATGTCTTAAAATAGTTTTTAATGTTAACAGTAATCAATTTACCATAATTTTTCATAGCCTAAGCTTTCATTTGAGCCATGAGGCTTGCTCAGGTCTATGTTTCTGTGGCTTGGATATTCCTGTGTAGATTAGTCATCAACAGTATTATCTTCGTTCATATTCTTGTTAATTTTCTTTTACTTTTATGGACCTCTCATTGATTTGATATTTGGCATCTTAATTCCTGTTTCTGGAACATATTTTATTCTAGTTAAGATATGCATGAAAACATTGAGAAGTTTGATACAGAATCTGAGTAAGGTCTAATATTTCTACTATACACATGAGGTTGCCTGAAACTGAATCAGGCTGTTGGTCCATCAAGGTCAATGCCATCTACTCTGACTGGCTGCAGCTCTCCATGTCTCAAGTCGAGGTCTTTCCCATCATCATCTCCTTTGCCTTTTAAAATGGAGATGCTGGCGATTGAACCTGAGACCATCTGCATTTAAAGCAGATGCTCTACCACTGAGCGATGGCTCCACTCCCGTATTACTTGCAATTCATTAAATTGCCACCATCGCCTTAACAACCGAACTCTTTACAGTATGGTAATGTTAGTAGCAGAGGAGATGAGGCATGAAAAGCTTTTAGTTGTGTGAACTGGTCCTAAGAAGCTGTCATAGGCTTAACTGGATCCAAAGTTGCTGTTGCACCAGCAGGATGACTCTGCCTTTGGCAAAGAAGCATCCCCCCACCCCACCCCATTCTTCCCTCCCACCAATTAGGGCTCAGCAGGCTGCAGCAGGAGTGGGGAGGTGGGAGAGACTACTTGACCAACTTTACTCTGCTGCCAATGCTTTGGATCCAAACAAATTTGTTTTTTAATGTTTCATACCACAGAAGCACCATTTCTTGAGAAAATTTAAGCATCTCAACAAACTTGTAATGGGATTGTGAAGTAGCTCTTAAATCCTTGCCCTAGTCTTGTGAATTTCTTGAAACATGTTGTAGCTAGAAGCAAAGTTGTATACTTAAAGCTCTATATAATTTCTTCCAAAAAACAAAACAAAACAGTGAGGAGCATGCAGTTTTTATGTGTACAATAGTTTACTCTTCATTTGACTTGCCAAGGAAATCGATATTCTCTTGCACCATTGTGAATTTGTTTTTCATGTGTTTAGACAGCACATAATATTTCATAATGTTGGTATCTCTTTTATATTGATTAGATAAGAACTGGATTTTCCATGGCATAACACATAGGTCCAGTCCCCCCCCCCCCGTGTTCTGCTGATATAGTGAAGTTTAGGCTGGGATGCATTTGTATGGATTCACTTTCTTTTGAAATTCATCAGCTGGGTACCTAGAGCAAACTCCTTCACTGTAGTTGCATAATACTTTGGTTTTAATGTAATTCTACAATGTGAAACTAGGATGAATTTATATTTAATGAAAAGAGGATCTTTCAGTTAAAGTGCAATATATATCCCTATGTCCAAAGAAAGTGCTTTTTAGTTGATGGCTTGACTCTGGATTAGAACTGTATATGGTATATATGCGTGTTGCATTTTCATAAAACATATTTATCAAAATTTTACTGGGCAGGAAGGTAAGATGAGAAATACAGACAATTCCTGTCCATTACTTCTGAGAGATATTTTTTTTAAAAAGGAGTTTCCGTGATGGGAATGGAATTTTTATTCTTAGCAATGCAGTAACATTGTCTTAAGTGCTACTTTATATTCCTTTGCTGGAACCTCCCTGTTGCAAAGCCTTGTGCATCATCGATCACCTGTTTGCAAATGATGCTGGTAGACAATGTTCCCCCTAAGCTGAGTTAGTGTGAGGTAGCTCACAGTTTTTTAGCCTCACACACATTTTTGTCTTAGCTCAGGAAGGATGGCTCCAGAGCAAACAAAGTAGAATTTTTGCTCACAAGACTCCACAGCTTAGAGGGAGCATTGGTGGTAGAGTAATAAACCGGTGAGAAAAATGAAAGTAAAAATGTTCCTGAATGGATGTGGCAGTATAGTGCTACATTAGTAAAAAGTTGTCATATAGGACAGAATGAACACTATAATGAGTTAGAACCGGACCCAGAAATCTCACCTGACCAAAAGGCACAAGACAACACTAATGAAAAAGGTTGAACTAGAGTTAACTTATCTGGGTGATTAACCATGTCTTTTCAAGAATAAAGTTCATGGAAAGGAAATTCCTAAGTTACTGTTACTAGTAATAAGAAAAAGGAAAGCAAGTTTTTCTTCATTGTGACAGACCCAAATCTGCTTACTAATGAGGCACATGCCCATAAAAGTTGTTAATCTATGTAATTTTTTACTTGCTGTGTCATTGGAAAGACTAACACCTTGAAGTCCAATTCAAGACCATTCTATCCCTGGACCTTGCCCTTGTGTTTCTAACTTTTATAACATCTCTGTGGACATCAGTTTAGATTTCACTTTTGTACTTTGGGCAAATGTGTTGAGGTGCATCTTCGTCAGATAAGAAAAATGGAGAGGAATGCATATGAAGCTTTCCAAAAGATTGCCTTGGTAGATACCACTCCTATGTAACCCTGGACAAGTGAAAGCAGGCCACACTGAAATGACAGGAGTTTGGTAACCGTCAGAAAGTGAAGGATGCTAAAAGTTAAGGCCTTTATCTGCAAACAAAACTATTAATAGTCTATAACATATTTACAAATGCATCAGATACTAAAACTAACAGTATTTTGTTCACAGTGCCATTGTTTATACAGATAGCTTTCCCATAATACTTCCGTATTTTGGCATGGGAATCAGTAGCGCTTTATATATACAGGAGATGTACATGTGCGAATATAAACGGATCACGGATACACTTGTCCAAAGAGACATCTGGAAACATTTAGACTGTACAACTCTTCCCTTTGATTTGCTAGGAAAACTGTTCTTGCAGTGAGAAGAATGTCAGTCGTATCTAAAGTGGCATAAAATGATTAACAAAATGGGCACTACCATGAAAAAGCTTTGAGTATACAGAATAACCTTAGTTCAAGGCTCCTAGATTCTTTGTCCAGTGCACCAAATACAAAAATTAAAAAGACTTTTAATTATTTAAAATGAGACACTTTTTCTTCTGTGCAGCCAGATTTCCTCTGAGTTCTGACAATGCTGGTGGTGATTTTGATGTGCGGCCCAGCTGCCAGACTGAAGACTGTACACTGCTTCAGGCCTTCATTCAGAGAGCCATGTCACAGTATGGCTCTGAAGTGAATGAAACCGATAACCAAGAGTGCACTGGTCTTGCCTGTCCCCTTGAAGCCTCTTGGTAGTTGGCACCCACTTTACTGGCCCAGTTTCAGCACTACTGAATGAAGCTTCTCATTTAAGCAGTTCATGATCAGAAGTGATGAATGGCTTCAGCTTTTAAGATGAGGAAGTGGGATTCAGCTTTAGCATCAAACCCAGGAGTGTGGGCTTTACTGGGGAGAGCTCCCACATCTTCTCTTTTCCTCCCTACTTTCCTCCCTTCCTGCTTGGTTAACGATGGCCCAACGGGCCCTTAGCATTTTTTGTTCACAGTTGTGAAAGGCAGTGGCACTACAGCGCAAAGTGGGAAGCTGCCACTATGGGGTTTCTCCTTCATTTAAAGTCTGTTCTTCATTTTCAGTTCCTTGACCTGAGTGGTCAGTGCTGCTGTGTTGCTTGTGAAGCAAATTCCTCCACTTGGCCTTGTTCCTCCGCAGATGATTCTGCATGTTTTCTGATAAGGGAGTGTTCCCAGTAAAGTTGGCCCATTCTTCAAAGAGTGGCTCCACAATGTAGGTCATGAAGCCTGGGGGAAAACACGAGGCAAGTCATATCAGCAACTGCATCACTCACTAAGTGGACTCTCCTGCTAAGCCAGCAACCTAGTACAGAGCCTGAAATTATGGCTGTAAACCATATTCCACTGTAGTCTGGTGATATGCAAACTGCAGCACTGGGGCTCAAGTACCTCCGCACCAGCCTTTTAAAAAAAATTAAAGTTATTTTTTTGTTAAGTTGGCCACATCACTTCTTCTGTTGGTAAAGTCAACAGAAAATGGCCAAAATAAAATGACTTGCAGTTTTGCAGCATTTCCAGAGCTTAACCAGGCAACTGTACTGTCTGTCTTGGTGATTGGCCTGATATTCTTGTTCAGAGACTTAACCAGCTTGGAGTGGGCCATGCATATCTACAAGTGAGAGACCCACAAGGACTTGTGGAGGAGGAGCACATTTCCCCTATCCCCACTATTTAGTCTTCGTGGAAAGCTGCAATAGCCTCTCACCATGTCCTGCTTCGTTCCCACACCAGACAACTGACCTTTATCTGTGCTCTGTCCACCTTTCCATACTTCCTTCACCCTGGCAGCCTCTCCCCAGGAACACTGGCTGTGTTGCACACTGCCAGCAACTGGGCCGGTGCCCTGTTGCATGGTGGTGAACCTGCATGGACTTATGGGGGTACCTCACTTTCCAAGCCTCTCCCCAGGAACACTGGCTGTGTTGTACACTGCCAGCAACTGGGCCTGTGCCCTGCTGCAAGGTGGTGAACCTACATGGACTTATGGGGGTACCTCACTTTCCCTCTCCTCACTGTTTCCCCTTTCTGTCCTGGCAGACCCCATATCTTCTCCCATTCTTCTGCTTCTTTCTCTCCTCCACACCCACCAACCATCTACTTTTTATCCTGTCCGCATGTTGAGCTACATTTATTATTTCATTTTTATCCCACATTTCTCCACAATGGGGACACAAAGCAGCTTACATCATTCTCTTCTCCATTTTATTCTCACAACAACTCTGTTAGGTAGGATAGGTGGAGAATGTGTGATTGGCCCAAGGTCACTCAATTTCCACAACAGAGTGGGGATTCGAAACCGGGTCACCTAGATCCTAGTCTTAAATTCTAACTACTGTACCACACTGGCTTGCATGTGGTGGCTACTGGGCATGGGTGTGTCATGGGAGTCTCACGGTAGCTGCTGTTGAACAGTAGCTTCGCCTGGGTGAGTCATGCTGGTCAGGCACTAGAAAGGTTGCAGGTGGCCTGGCACCAATGAGTCCTTTCTCAGGCCAAAACAGCCCTGGAAAGGGCCCTGCCTCCTCCCCCTGCCTTTACTGACAGAAACCAGAGTTTAAAGATTCCCTATGCAATTGTGGTTGCTTAGAAATGGCCACAATGGTCACTGAGAGAGCATTTGTTTCTTAAAGCTACAGGCATTCTTTTGGAGTTTTTAAAATCCCAGTGTTGTGTGTGTGTTTTAAACATTTCAGATTTTTCTGCAAACCTGGTTGTCGTCGTTATTTTGAGTTTGCAGAACCATCTGTCGTGTCTGTTCACTGCTATCCAGATTTAAGATACATTAGAAAAGTTGTTAATTTGACTTTGAGGGTAAGGTCAGCCTAAATGGCCCAAAGGAAAACAAGACACTAGAATCATCATTTGATTTTAGCTGAGCCAACTTCATGTGTCCTAAAGCTCAGAGAAAAGCATAAATTCTTCTTTCAAGAATAAGGTTCTTAATTCTGAACAGTTGGCATGATATCTGAAAATTATAACTGCTCTGTTTACTTGGAAAGCACATGATCAGAAAACAGATGATGTTTAATTTTTTTTAAAAACTGGATTGTTCAGCAAATCAATACGTTAACAGGCAGATGAATTACACATTAGTTTTTGTCCTTTAACTCACTGGCTAGACATAAAAGATCAGTGCAAATGGCCTACTGAGGTTCTGAGTAGGGATGCTGAAAATTTTGCCAGCGAAGCTCTTCGGCAGCCAAACATATTGTGTTCAAACCTCACAATTAGATTATGAGTGAACAAATCAGAAAGAATAATGTGAAGGACTATCAAAAGTTGGGAATCTGCTTCCAATTTCCTTTCCGGGAATCTTTGCTGGGTCCAGTCCTTGCTAGGAGACAGCAACTGGGGGGAGCAGCAGAAGCCGACTGCCCACTGATCCTCCAAACAGTTGAGAATCGTCTTCAGGTCACTTAGCCCTGGAAATGTTGCTGCTGCTAGACTTGCTGGGTCACAGCGAAGCTTGGGTGGGGTGGGGATCATAAGCCAACTCCTAGTTAATCAGGGGATCAAGTGGGAATGGGGTTCTGATCTGGAGAGCCAGTTTGGTGTAGTGGTTAAGTGCACGGACTCTAATCTGGGAGAACCGGGTTTGATTCCCCACTCCTCCACTTGCACCTGGCTGGATGACCTTGGGCAAGCCGTAGTTCTGATAAGAGCTGTTCTAGAAAAAGAGCAGTTTCTGTCAAGAGCTCTCTCAGCCCCGCCTACCTCACAGGGTGTCTGTTGTGGGGAGGGGAAGGGAAAGGAGTTTGTGAGCCGCTCTGAGACACCTTTGGGTAGTGAAGGGCGGGGTATAAATCCAATCTCTTCTTCTTCTTCTTCTTCTAGTCTCCCCTCCCCACAAAAAATGGCTGAGTTTTGAGAAGGCTGAAATATAGGGAAGTTAGAGACCTTCAGTTTCTAATCTCTGACTTTGCTGTGTTTCTGCTTCCCCAAACTCTGAAATTCTTCTAGGTGAGCTAGGATTGGGCTTCTAATTCCATCCCCCAACACTATGTTTCGGAAAGGCTGAAACACAACATCTCTAACTTTGTTGTGTCTCAGCCTTCATTCAAATGATGATTTTTGGGATGGGAGGGGGAGTGAATCAGAACTCACTTCTGACCTTGTTCACCTGTAAATCAGCTTCTGGTTCCCATCCCCCACCCCAAAGTCCACTTTGCTGTGTCCCAGCAACAGGCTAGGAGGCAGCAAAAGTGTCCAGGTCTGAGACATCAGAAGCCAGCTCTCTTAGTCAGCTGCTTATCTCCCCCCCTCCCCCCAGTTTTCTGGGTCGCAATAACCCTGGGAGTCAGCTCCAGATCCCCCGTGCAGCTAGCCTATTGATGCTGAATGGAATGAACAGGTTGCACACATCTGAACAGCCTGTCAATAAATCAGCTTCCGGATTAGAAGTGGCAAACAGGTGGTGTGTTGAACATGCAGGTATTCAACATCCCTAGTTCTGAGGAGAATGGCAGCTTCTGGAACCTTTAGGGTGGCTTCAGACATTCTGTACTGTGTAAGGGGAAGATATGCAGGGAGACTGTGCTACTGCTTGTTTAAAATGTCCAGAACTGGAGGCCATCCATCCTCTCTTACAGAAATGTGTGTGTGTGACAGATGAACATAAGAGACGCCAATGTTGGATCAGGCCAAAGGCCCATCCAGTCCAACACTTTGTGTCACACAGTGGCCAGAAATACCAGGTGCCATCAGGAGGTCCACCAGTGAGGCCAGGACATTAGAAGCCCTCCCCCGGTTGACCCCCCCCTTTTGAAGCTGTCCATGCTTGTAGCCGCCACCACTTCCTGTGGCAGTGAATTCCATGTGTTAATCACTCTTTGGGTGAAGAAGTACTTCCTTTTATCCATTCTAACCCGACCGCTCAGCAATTTCATGGAGTGCCCACGAGTTCTTGTATTGTGAGAAAGGGAGAAAAGTACCTCTTTCCCTACCTGCTCTATCCCATGCATAATCTTATAAACCTCAATCATGTCACCCCTCAGTCGTCGTTTCTCCAAGCTAAAGAGCCCTAAGCGCTTTAACCTTTCCTCATAGGGATGCAGAAACTTACATACAGGCTGCGATCACACACACTAAATAATCCAGTTTCAATGCACTTTCCAACTAGATTTTACTGTGTGAACTGGCAAAATCTAGTTGGAAACTGCCTTGAAAGTAGATTAGATTGAAAGTGGATTATTTAGTGTGTGTGATCGCAGCCACAGTCTCCCTGTAGAGAAAATGCATACGCTCAGTTTGGGGTATGGGAAGAGAATTCCTCTCCACATGTCTGGAATCTTTTGGGGTTACTTGTAGGATGAACGTTCTCAATACTTTCTATTCAATGCACTGCTAAGCAGAAGCAGCTAACCAGGTGAGACTGTTTAGAGGTGGAAGAAAACAGGCAGGCTAATGGCCTTCTAGCAAATAACCATATTTTTAATCCATATCTTTGTAAAAACAAGTTTTACTGTGCAGGTTTTTGTTGTGGTGTAAAGAAAGAGACTCTTCTGGAACTGAGTGGTCTTATGAAACACTTGTTAGACCTGTTTAAACAGGTTTTTCATATTTTTGTGCTGTCTCAGGCTTGTGAAACTGTTTCAACAGAGGTAACCATGAGACAAATGAAAAAATGTGAGCCTTGTAAGTGAAGCCCCTCTCTCCAACAATTGTTTGTTTCCAGCTTTAGAAATGCCTGAGATCTTGTTTTCATTTCAGTTGCATTCAGTGGTGTGGGGTTTCCAAGAAAATATGAATTGAAAAGTTTTTTGATTCAAATAAATAATTTAAATATTAGCAAAAGCATTCAAATACTCCATGAACAAGCCTGGACCATGTATAAGCACTGGAGTTTGCCTATTCTTCATAGCCTACATTTAGCCCATCTAACATGATCAATTTGCAGCACAACAGCGCTGACAAATATAGGTAATACTGACTATATTTACGTATGCAGGGCAGAAAATGTCCCACAGAAAAATATAGCATCAGAAAGTTTTTCACCCTATATCACTCATGGCATTTAAAATCTTGAATCCCATTCATCTGACATTGCACCAGATCATGGGACTGAAAAAGGAACTAAAGGCTACTTTGTCCTCAAGTTCTTTGTTACATGTGGACTAAAACTGTCTGTAAGGTTGTCTGCAAAACCGATTTGACTTTGTTCAAGTAATCTCCATTGGGAATACTTTTAAATCAACAATCTGTTTATGTTGCATTTTGTGTTATCCAGTGAAGGACACTCTAATGGGAGAAAAGTATACTAACCAATTTGTATACTAGGGATTGTGTCTTTCTGCTGATTACAAAGAGGACTTATTTCCAGGTCAAATTTCTGCTCCAGGTCACCTAACAAAAAAAAAGGAAAAAACAATTTTACTGCTTATTTTGAAGATGCATGAGCTTTTTGTGTATATGCATTAATATATCAAGTATACAACTATACCCTTTCTAATTACCAGGCTTGTCTCTCCCCTCCTCTGTTGAACTTGTGCACCCTTTGCTAACTTTACAGTCTTCTTGCTCTCTCCCCAGGGTAAGGCACAACAGCTCAGGTGGGAGAGTAAGACTGTCATGGCACCCAGCGAAGAGCAAATGGGTCATGGAGAAATGGCCCAGAGAGCCCTACTTTTATCCTCAGAGAGGCTCATAGCTTACCAACCTTCCGGTCCCCCTGGCAATAGCTATTTCAAGGTCAGAACCAACCACCAATCACAAGCCCCACTGCACTATAGCTTTGCCCTTTTTCCTGGGACATGGGGCAAGTGCCACATTGGGGAACAATGCTTGGAAGATCCACAGATGGTATGAGAGCTACATGTGGCTCCTGAGCCACTGAATATCACTGTTTTATAAGGCTGATGACCAATGTTCTGTTGATGCTTTACACTGTGATTGGTGTTTGCCCTAAATGATTTGTTACTAAATGCTGCAATATGCTTGCAATGCCTCTTTGAGCCAATTGGAACTGTGCAATTCATAAATAAGACATGCCTAAATACATGGCTTTCTAGCATCCCATTGGAAAGCACTTCTTATGCATTTCAGTAATTCGCTACTTTGACTTAATTAAAATGAACTCTCAAGATTACTCCTCACAATGTAGAGGCAAGCAGAGGTTTGCAGGCAATAGAAAATGGATGTTAACTTTCAGAACTAAATAGGTTTATGCTCCCCTCAGATGTTATCTTGGCATATTTATTAATTTACAAAATGTATATGTCTCCTCAAAGTGGCTTATGACTAATATAGTAAGACACAGTAATTAACATGATACTAAAAACAAGCTGACACTATTAAAGGCCATACAACCTTTAAATGATTTAAAAAAACCTTAGTTAAAACTCTGGCTAAATAGGAACGTTTTAGCCTGGTGCCTTAATGAAAGTAAGCTGGGCATCAGTCAAGTCTCATACAGGAAGGCATTCCAAGGTGCCACCACTGAAAAAGCTGTTTCTGGTCAACACCAGCCTTACCTCTGAAGGCAAAGGGGCACAGGAAGCAAGGCTTCAGAAGAGAATCTTAATAGATAGTCTGGACAATATGGGTGGAAGTGGGCCTTCACATACCCTGGCCTCAAGCAATTTAGGGCTTTAAAGGTAAGAATCAACACATTCCTTTTGTGAGAGCAACAACCAGGCGAGGCTTTGGTCTCCATGCCTTTTGGGATATCCGATCAGCCACCATGAAACAGGATGCTGGACTAGATGGACCACTGATACAATGCAGAAGGATTGCTTTTGTATGTTTATGCTGTCATTGGTACTGGAACAGGAGGAGTTAACATTTTTAAGAGTTCTACCTACTTGAAGGGAAGTCCAACACTTTCCTCTACTTCTTATGTGGGTTTATTAGCATTGTTGTACATGGTTAGAACAAAGTTTGAGGCCAGTGGCACCTTTAGGACCATCAAAGTTTAATTTGAGGTATAAGGCTTCAGGGGCACGCACACTTCTGAAGCTTATTCCCAAAATTAACCTTTGTTGGTCTTAAAGGTGCCACCGGACTCCAACTTTCTTCTGTTGCTTCAGACCAACACAGCTACCCACCTGAATCTTTGTACAAGGTTAGTTAGGGCAGTTGAATAGTTATGAATGTATTATTTTGCTTTTTCTCTTCAATCACAACCATTTATTCAGTGAGGTCATATTTCAGTCAGTTTTTTAAAATGAAGATTTCAGATGAGCATGCAGGGAGGCAGAGTTGGTTGGGGAATAATTACCACTTCTGTCTAACAATATAGTCTCAAAGCACAAGGTGAAAATCTATTAGCCTGCTGACCTTGCCTATAGAATTCCTCACAAACTCGTTCACTCCATTGTTTGCTCATCTCCCAGAGCCGGCAAGGATTGCAGATGTCTGCACACTTGAGTGCAATCTGAAAAGAAAGGGCAACATGGTATGAATGGTGAAGCCTGACAGGTCTCCCAGCGCTGTGTACTGCAAGCTTGATGTTGCATGAAGAATTGTCATTGCCTTCTTTGAAACAAGAACTGTAATACCACACTGCATGAAAGCATTATCTTCTTTATACTGCCTCTTTCACAAATTCAAATACAAAGCAAAAGGAGACAAAAATCACTACAACCAAAATAAACATCCACAAGTTTAAAAGCAATGTTGAAGAAGAACCTTTTCAAACAAACACAGTTGTTAACAGCAGTTGGATATGTCAGTACCTATAAAATGATTACATAATACAGAAATAGTCTGCGCTTATCCTAATTTGTGGGACTGCATAGAGGACCACTCGATGAACAACAGTGACAGGTAAGTGCAGCCCTCTTTTCTGTCTGAGGTGTCTTTTGCAGCCTATTCAAATAACAGACTATAACAGACTACAGCTAGTCCCCTAGGACCCTTGATACCTATTAGCTTCCTGGGGGTGAAATTCAGACTCTTTCTTTGATCTTAGGGTAAATCCTCCATTCCTAATAAAGGTCATCTTTGGCACTGTCATGCCACCAGCAGTTTCTCCCACACATCTTTTAAAAATTTCCAGTGGGTGTCATTCCACTGGGTAATCCCTTTATTACAACTGTCTTCTGGACTTAATGGAAATGGTTTTTACCTCAACTTACATGAGTTTATTTCCACTTTTCCCCTCATCTTTTGTCTCTCCTCAGTCTCAGTCTGTTGTCTCAACTCAGTCAAAAGCTCTCTCTGCCTAACAAAATATCCTACTTTTTTGGTATCATCAGCTGTTCTACCACGGGAGGTGGTAGTTCTGCTCTATTCTGCTATGGTCAGGCCTCACCAGGAGTACTGTGTCCAGTTTTGGGCACCACATTTTAACAAGGATGTGGACAAGCTCGAGCGTGTCCAGAAGAGGGCAACTAGGATGGTGAGAGGGTTGGAATCCAAGTCTTATGAGGAAAGGCTGAAAGAGTTGGGTATGTTTAGCCTGGGAAAGAGAAGGCTTAGAGGGGACATGATTGCAGTCTTCAAGTATTTGAAGGGTTGTCATGAAGAAGATGGAGCAGATCTATTCTCTCTTGCTCTGGATTGCAAGACCAGATCTAATGAGTGGAAATTACAAGGGAGTCGTTACCGGCTAAATATCAGGAGAAACTTCCTAACTGTAAGAGTGGTTGAGCAGTGGAACAGTCTGCCTCAGGAGGTGGTGGATGCTCCTTCGCTGGACGTTTTCAACGGAGGCTGGACAACCATCTTTTGGGTATGTTGTAGGTATGTAGGGCTATCTTTCAGCTATGCTCCTGCAGAGTGCAGGGGGTTGGACTAGATGACCTGCAAGGTCCCTTCCAACATTCTATGATTCTCACAACAGAATCTAGTTGCTGCTGGTAGTTAATTATATATATTTTACTGTTAATGTCCTAATGTAAATGCCCTAATGATCTGGAACAGCTTCTGTGCTTAGACTTGTATATCACTTGTACTTCGACTTGTATAATGCATTGTTTTATTGAAATCCATCCATAAGTTTCCACATGAAAGGGTTATTCAACTCAGTCAAAAGCTCTCTCTGCCTAACAAAAAAATCCTACTTTTTTGGTATCATCAGCTGTTCTACCATAACATTTACTTGGTATTCATTAATATATCTCAGTATACATTTTGTTTGTTTCTTAGATGATGCTAACAACCTAAAAACTTGATATAATCAGGTAGGATGACATTTCCTATTAGGCGTGCCTCCCTAGTTATCAAAATAATTCTGGCTTCACCCCAAAATGTTGGTAAACATGTTCCTCATCCAACATTACTGTTTGCACTGACCTCACTACCCATTAATGCCTGAAGTTCCTCTTGTATCACCAAGAGTTGCTTTAGAGCCCAGGTTTTCCAATTAAAAAGAGAGTTTATACTATCTTTGTAGTGGTAATAACAGAAGCAGTAAATTCAAGAATGCCTCAGTTTTTATGAGGTAATTGAGTGCAGGGGGGCAGTAAACTAAGAAAACATAGATTCTAGCATCTGCTGACTTTGTGGTTTTGGCACTTTGATGATATTTATAAGGAGAAGTCTATAAGGAAGCCTAGGAGATGGACAGAGATCTGGGGTTTAAAGTAAGAATAGTGGGCATCACTTTGTTGTGGTGTGTGCTTTGAATACTTATTTTTATTTAAAATATTTTAGGATACCTAAGACTGCAAATAATCAAAACAATTAAAGCAAGCTTTTAAAAATATGTACATACATAAAACAATTAAAACACAGACAACTGAAACAGTGAGTGAGGGAGCACCAAACCTGCTGAAAGAAAATAATCTAGAGGATGACAGATAAATCTCCCTAGTGAGGGACTTGCGTCATATTGGTGCCATGACAGCTGTGAAGCCAACTACCTGCTCCCTGGATCCTTGTCCCTCATGGCTGGTAAAATCATGCCATGTGTGACCTTTGAGACAGATTATTAATTTGTCACTCTCATAGGGATGTTTCCCCAGCTCCCCTAAGGATACAATTGTTAGACCTTTGCTAAAGAAATCCTCCTTCGATAAAAAAGAAGCTGGTCAATTACTCCCAGTGTCTAATCTACCTTTCCTGGGGAAGGTAATTGAGTGAACAGTGGTTGAGCAGCTCCAGGTGTTCCTGGATGAGACATCTGTCCTTGACCCTTTTCAACTGGACTTCAAGGCCTGGCTTCGGGGCTGAGACAGCACTGGTCACTTTGGTTGATAATCTCCATTTACAACTGGATAACTGCATGCCGGCATTGTTGATCCTTCTGGATGTATCAATGGCCTTCAATACAAGTTGACCATGCGGCCCTGATTGACTGCCTTGCCTCCCTGGGGGTGAGAGGCACTGCCACCCTTAGTTGGTTTTCCTCATTCCTTCAGGGATACTTTCAGGGGGTTGCTATTGGGAAGGAGAGGTTTTCCCAATGAGACCTGACTGTGGAGTCCCACACACACACGCATACATATGTACCCTCTTGCTGAGATCATCAGAAGGTTTGGATGCAATCAACAGCTGGTAGCAGGGCTCTCGACACTATCCCAGTGCCTAGATGTGATAGTCCAATGGTTAAGGAGGAGCTGGCTGAAGATAAATCCATCCAAGACAGAGGTCGTGTGGCTGGAAAAGACTAAAATGCTAGCTGGAGGGTCACTCCTGAGACTTAGTGGTGTTAGGCTGACAGCCGTAGACTGTAAAGAGCCTTGTGGCATGGTTGGATTTTGTGCTATCACTGGATAAACAATGCCACAGTTGCCATTTTTTCACCTACGTCAGACCCACTCGCTGGCTCCTTATTTGTCTGGGTCGGACCTTGCCGCATCAATCTATGCAACTGTCACATCCAGATTGGACTACTATAATTCAATCTCTGTGGGGCTACCTTTGAAAAAGCTTTGGAGACTTCAGGTAGTCCAGAACGCAGCTGCCAGGTTGCTGACTAGAACATCATGGTCATCTCATATTACTCCAATTTTGCAGCAGCTGCACTGGCTTTCAATTAGTCTCCAGATCCAATTCAAGGGGTTGGTGTTAACTTTTAAAGCCCTTAATGGTCTGGGAGCCTCATACCTATGGGACCACCTCTCCCATTACAACTCCCCATGTTCCCTTCAGTCATTCTCTAGGGGCCTCTTGCAGGTGTCTGGTCCCAGTGTGGCCCAATTAGTTGTCACCAGGGGAAGGGCCTTCTCAGTTGTGGCCCCTACCCTGTGGACTGTACTCTTGGATGACACCCATGCCCTGCCAACCTTGTTTAGCTTTCACAGGGTGTGCAAGGCTGAATAATTTAGGTTGGCCTTTGGTGTGTCATCCACATGCTTGTGTTGTTTTTGTTAGTGGCATAATGCTAGCCACATATTTTAATAATTTAATATTTTATTTTAATGTTAATATTTTACATTTGCTATCTGTTTTAATGTTGTTTTAATGCTGCAAGTTGCCTCTGGGTGAACAGCAACTAAAAAAATAATAATCTAGAAAATAAATAAATAAATGGAAACAAATGACCGAGAATGTCCTTTCTTGGGTTGCCACCCATCTAGCCTCAGGTGGTGAGGGTGCTCAAATAAGGACCCCTGATGATGACTGCAGTGGTCAGGTAGGTTCATATGTGAGTAGGTGGTCCTTAAAGTATGTTGGCCCCAAAGCTATATAGAGCTGTAAAGGTACTAGCACCTTGAAGTGGGCCCGAAAACTGACTGGGAACCAATGTAGACAGAACAAGACTGGAGTGATATGATCCCTAAAATGTACTCCATCGAACATTCAGGCTGCAACACTGATGACCAATGGCCTTGCTGGCCATATATACCATTTGGGCTTTTTAGGTCATTGTTTTGCTTGATTACTCATGCAAACATGGTTATACTATGGGAACATAAACTACTAATATTTAATGAAAAATAAGTGCAGGCTGAGAGAGGCTAGAGACAGAGCAGAGAGAAGTCTATGTATTATTTTCTTGAAGAAATAACATCTATTTTGTGATCATTTCTTCCTGTCTCTTCTACATTAGCAAATATATTAAGTAGTTTTCAAATGGATTTTTCATTTGAAACAAAATTATTACTCAGGCTTTTTTCTGATGCTAAAAGCTATTTGGAGTGGAAGGTTATCTTTTAGGTTTGTTCCTTTAGTTAAGCAGCCAACCAGCAAAAAAGGTACCTTTCAGGTTAATAATGATGGCACAAACTTATTCCAAAGATCCAGTTCATTTCTGTAGTGCTGCTGGAACAAGTAATTCGAATGAGATTTGGTTTTGTCATTACCTTCTGAAGAACAGCCAAGCAAGAAGCAATTTATTAATATAGTTACTTCTCTGCAAGTGGAACATAGCAGTTTAAAAATTATTCAGGGACTGGTGAATACAGCTAACAAAGGTGGGGGGAAATAGTCTGCACTGCTGAGCTGAAAGTCCCCCCCCCCTCATGCCAGCAAGGCTCCTCTGCCTTTAGCAAGTTTTTTGAGAAGCAGAAATTTCACAGGTGAAGCTCTTTGTTACATGGAATGCTTCACCTGCTGTTATATGGCTGGCAGCTGTTAAAGACACGGCAATCCTTCGCAATGAGAGAAAAACCTTACATCCTTAATGCATCACACTGGCATTGTACTGGTGGGCTAACAGCTTGCAATTAAGTTGTTATAGGAGTGTTCTGTATCCCTTTCATAGTTAACTATTAGCCATTAAAGGTTGCACAGGAATATCCAGCATTATGATTTAATTCTGTACGGTTCATAAAGTTTACTGCAGGCTATAAAATGGTTCCTGGTATACAACTCAGTCTGTGGAGTAATAGGATAGCTGAGTGGGGGGGAAAAGTGTGTATTAAAAAGGCAGTGTTTCTAAGAGGCTATGTTGTCAGTGGAAAGGAACACCAGCTCACACTAACTGCTGTATAGTAGTTATTCTCCTGAACCTCAGTTGCCATAATGGTGTAGATATTCCATAAAATACAGTATCAGTTGCTTTCCCATAATGAAAACTAGAATGCATAAAGCCTGGGTATATATTTAGGTGATTTCTTAGCTGAATTCTGGTGAAAGAAAGGAATAAAGAAATTCTCATCTTCCTTCCCCCACCTGTTCAGTCACTGCCATAACAAATCCTTCTTTATACACAACTTTTTGTGTGAAATCTACAAATAAATTTGATTTTGATGCAATAAGTTTTCACTGATATATTTGGAATTGGGCCTACATCAGTGCAGTTTAGTGATCCATTTACCTGCCCTGTATTTTGATGCCAGAGTCCAAATGTATATGAAATGCTGCTTGCATGTTGTTACAGGCAACAGTACAATAGCAGATGTGTGGGACCCCAGTTTGGATCAGGGCCATGGTAGACAGGAGGTACCTTTTCCCACACTGCTTTCCTGGCCTGAAATACCCCCACAGCCAGTTCAAGTAGGGAGTCCCTGGAGCTGAGACACTTCATCACCGTAGCAGGGCCTGCCACCTCAGAGAGCTGGGTCTGCTTGCAAAACAGATGCTCTTTCACTGAACCAGAGATGTTCCCCAGGAGAACGTCAGGAAAACTTGTATATGATCAGGGTGCACAACTTGCCATTCTAAACATACTTCTGAAAACAAGCAAACAGACAAAAAGGAATGCTTTCCTCACTGAGAAAAACCTTTAATTTTGCTTCTTTTTTTCCCCTATGTGGAAGCAAAGTCCAGCAGTTAACCTTCCCCACCCCCAAAAAAACCCTGCTGAATATGTATTTTCCCTTGCCTTAAAAGGTAAAGGTTCCCTTGCTCGAAAGCCAGTTGAGTCCGACTCTAGGGTTGCGGTGCTTCATCTCCGTTTCAAAGCCGAAGAGCCAGCACTGTCCGAAGACGTTTCCGTGGTCATGTGACCGGCATGACTAAACACCAAGGCGCACGGAACGCTGTTACCTTCCCACCAAAGTGGTACCTATTTATCTACTTGCAATTTCTTGCTTTCGAACTGCTAGGTTGGCAGGAGCTGGAACTAGAGACGGGAGCTCACTCCGTCTTGCGGCACTTGGGTCTCGAACTGCTGAACTACTGACCTTCCACAGCCTGCAGTTCAGCGTCTTAACCACTTGAGCCACTGCAGCTCCTTGCCTTACATGGCTGCTATTTTTTCTTAAACCACTTGGGAGCTTTACACATGGAACCCCCCAACGTCTCATCTGGTTTGACCTACTGACCCTTGTTTTAGGGCAGAGGCTTACAGACTGAAAAACAGCTAGACTCTGACAGAAAGGTACAGAATTAGGTTCATAGTTTCGATTTGTTTGCAATCATTCCATGGGAACTGCAACTTCCTCATCAGCAGGATCTTCATTTTCTGCCAAGTCTGGTTCCTGAACTGAGGCTCAGAAAAATTCCCCATATGTTTCTCTGTAAATGCTCACAGGACTCTTTTGGAGAGCACACCGTGAATGCAAAGTGTCCTACTGGATGAGTCCCAAAGAAAAGTAACAATGAAAAATGAGACAAAGGGAGGAAAAAACAAGGGATGAGGATTAAATTCTAAAGCGAGGAGATCGTTTATCAGAGTTGGTATGAAGATAGTGACTGACCCTCTTTATCAGTGCTAAAGATGTTTGTCTATAAGCAGCATGATGTTTTAGGGAAACTAAGCCTTGGGGGTGTGTGGCCAAAACCATAACTAGTTTTACTTCTCTCCCTCCCTTTCTTGTACTCTACAACAAAACTCTTTGCTGTTTTTTAGTTCTATTATGTTGATCACTATTGTAATTCTTAAATTATGTAAACCAGATGATAGGCATGTAGCATCCCTGCTCCAGAAGCTGCAACTGACTGTCCAAGCTAGGATACTGAAAAAGTCTGCTCACAAGTGCTTGCCTTTATCGCTAGATTCCCAGGACAATAAACAGATGATTAGGAAAGTTTTTATATAGCATGTTACTCAAGCTGTAAAAACCAATATGTCATTTGTGTTTGGGGTGTAATGCAAAAAAGCATCCAGCTTAGAACTTAGTTTTTGTTCTCTGTTCTATGTAGTCTGCATTTACCTGAAGCATAAAATGCCTATCAGGTGCGTCTTCTAATCTCAGATCCTGATTTTGGAGATGGGCTTTCAAACGAGTCAGAAATTCATTCTGCCTATTGATGTCTGTTGCTAAGATCAGAGAGCCCAGCTGCTGTTCAATGTCATGCCTACAATTCAAAAAGAAAAAAGAAACAGTAAGCTATTCTTAAGGGATCATTTAATACCAGTATCACCAAAGGTCTTGAAGAGTTATGCTCTCCATCTTGTGTTTTTGATGACTCCAGTTACTGTAATGATTCATTTTATTTAGCAGATCCAGTTTTACACAACCGTAGAGCTGGTACAGCCTCTTCCACACATTCCTCTCCTGCCACAGCCTAATGAAGCCTGGAGTCAATATCAGATAGGAAGGAAGAACTCTGGGGTGGAATCAATACATGCTTCCTTCCAACCTGTGAGAATACACCAAGCACTTACTCTTCCCTCTCTTTATACTGGCTCAGGAGCGGATATGGGGCGCCTAGTGATAGAAAGTATATGGTTTTTTTCAAAGAAAACTCCTTAGGGCATTATGGCAGTTTTGGAGGTGGGAAATGAGGAGGACTGGTGTAGGGATTAGAGTAACCTTGCTTCCCACCAAAACTTGGAACCAGGCTTATCGTCATCCTCACTACAGCAGGGAAAATCCCATTGGTCCTGTGTGAAACACACCATGAAAATTAACCTCCACATTACATATTGTACTGGAAACGTCTGGTTGGTGGTGGAATGGGATTTATTGGGTGTTCCCTTATTTCACAGTCTCTGATTCTTTCCACCCAAGTCAAACATTGAACAGGACTGAATAATAGTCATGTTTATGAAAGAATGGCTATCAAACGCCTGGCAATTTCACGGCATACTTTTGTTATATCCACTTGGTAAAACACAGTACATGCAAGTATCGATTCTTATATTTTTGGGGAAAGGCAAGCAAGAAGAGCAGCCCATCATTCTGAGATAACCTATTTGCAGTTTAATTATATGCCCCATGTAGTCAATGAGTTGGACTTAATAATCTATCAGCAGAAAACTCAGGGGCTTATAGATCTTTCCTGTTTTCCACTCAAGCAGTCTCTTCTGACCCAGGGAAATTGAATCCTGGGGTTATGGGACTTGGATGTAGACTAACAGCCACGCAAGTCAGAAGCCTGCAATGAAGACAGGGAATGGGGCAAAATCACCTTCCTGCTTCTTCTGTCGGCACAGCTGGTATTTGCAGGATGTGTTTTAAAATCTTGAAAAATTGCTAATATGTACTGATGCAGAACCATCTACACCTCTTATGATGTAGTATAATTTTATGACCACAGTGGTCATATTCTGAATTAGGGTGCAATCTAGTTGCTTTGTGATAGGAAAAGGACCACAATGTAACTAGACAGGAAAAAAAACCTGGAAGCTCAACAGAGAGCAGAAGATTTAGTTTTGGAACTATTCTTGTTTTGAATTTTTCTCCAAAATTAGGAAGGCTAAGAAAGACAAAGACAGCTACCAAGTTTCTTGGAATTTTTCTCAAGTACCTTGTCTGCATGTCAAAACACAATTCATGATTTGATTGTGACTCTGCTGCTGCCCCACTTACTTGTATGCCTGTTTTCTTTATAGTGGGCCTTTTATATTGCCCTGTACCAAGATAATTCAGCTGTGAGCTGTCTTACCAGGCATATATGTTTACTACCTTAGAGAGGGTTGTCCAAATGGACCCAAGGAAAAAGGCTGAAGCAACATTCAATCCTTGGTTTGCACTAAATATGCCATGATTTTGCTTCCAATAACCATTTTAGTCCATTTTACAGTAAACAGAGCTTACCTCTCTTCCTTTGGCAGATGTGCGAGTAGCCTGGACTCTCGAAGCATGCCTACTGTAGATCGCCAGTGATGGTTTTCTAATACAGAGACATTCTGGGAAAGGTGGAAATAAACAGCCTATGACAAAATTCAGTTGCATGTGCTACTGGTTAATGAACATTTGATTCCTCAGGCTAATTGCTGCACATACATAGATACTTGGAATGCTGCCTGTCAGCTATTTGGGTTGCAACAGGGCAGGGAGAACTTGGTTTAAACAATATAACAGCACTCTGTGCTTTCAGCTAACATACATAATGCTCACAACATTCAGGACAGTAGCTGAGTGTCCCACAGCACAAACAAAGGCGTCTGATGGCATCTTAAAAATGATGAAATTTACTGTGGCGTAAGTTTTCATGGACTAGTAGGCTCTGGTCTGTGAAAGTTTTTGCTTCAGTAAATCTTCTAGTCCTTAAGGTACTCTTACTTTACTTTTTGTAAGCCATTCTCTCCCAACATTCTTTGATAGTGAAGTCACAGATGCTTTACTTTACAGGCCTTCTGCTGCTGTTCGTATCCACAAGGGAAAATCAGAAAGGCACTGTTAATAAATGCACCTCTGTTGAGTTTCAACATGGACTGATGACCGCACAGAAAGGTGGTGTGTGTGTGATTTTGCCATTAGATATCTGATTGAGAATAAGTTTGAAGAAGAGTTGGTAGCTGCAAGCTCAGCCCGTCACTGCCCAATCAGATGGCATGTTCAGGCAAGTGGGTTTTTTTTGCCTTTTGTTTCCTATGAGCATAACTGAGGAATTGCACCTCTGTACTGAGGGTTCCCCATGGAGTATGCGGTTATGCACATACTGCTAAGTGAGGGGGGGAAGGTACTAAGTCAGGATGGAACGAGCAGACCATCCCGACGGCATGAGAGCGTGCTTCAGTAATTAGACAGGGGAAAGTCCATCTGTAGCCCGTCAGCAAGCATTAGGACCGGACATTCCCTGGTGTCTTTTAACTCCGCTTCCATGGCGGGGCAGCACAGGTTGCTGACGGCTGTGGGACCTTTCCCAGATGTTGCTGTCTGATCATGCCCTTTAGAGCCATCAGGCATTTGCAGCTGAGTTGGATTTAAAGGCATGTCTGACCGCGGCCTAAAGTCACTGAGAACCCTGGAAATTTATTATAATAATATAGATTATATTAGATACTAGCTAGTAGCCTGTTAGATGACAGCAGTCAGAATGACATTTACAGATATTACCAACATGGTCTGGAATCTGAGCATGAATGAGCAGTTCCCATTCTGCAATAATGTATAACTTGAATATTCTGCTTTGATTTCAGTGGAACTATGTGAGCGTTCTTAGTCACAAAGGGCTGCAGCAGAACCAATTCACAACGTTAAAGCATTCTGTCTCTTCATCTTTACTCCCTCCTCACGATTTCCCTCCGAGAAACACCAAGTGTGTAACAGTTCAAATTGTACTTCTGTCCTAAGATAAAGGAACAGCCAGGCTAAGAGAGCTAAGGCTGTGAGACAGGTACTCCTAGGACCTGATCAACTTCTTCTTATCCATTTTGACAAGCCACAGCTAAGTACCCGATATGCAGCTTGCATTGAGGCCTTACCCAAAACTTCTCTAAATGTCAGGGCTTCTAGATAAGGTGGAGATAGATGCCTCAGAGAAACTGTATAACCCTGTGACGTAAAAGCAAGCTACTGTTTGACAACTGCATGGCCTTTGCAGATACAACTAACATTTTCAAAGTTACAGGCAAAATTGTGGACGGCAAGGATCTTCAAATGTATTTCTGTCCATCTCTCCCCCCCCATCCCAGGCTCAGCCTTTGTGTAGTAACTTGTGTTACAAAGTATCATGCACCCCCTGAATCTGTCTCCGTACTCACATGTATGCCAAATCTCAGCAGGATGAAGCATCCCATTCTGGGAATCCCATTGGATGCTAACTTCAAAAGAAAGTAGCCAGTGGACAAGATCCCACTAGAAGGCCACAATAAATCAATCTAAAGTAAGAAACTGAGCTTAACCCTTCCTCTTTATTAAAAAGCAGCACAAACTAACTTGCTTAGGTGGCTTTTTCCTATCTTCTTGCTAGCTGGGTAAAATACACCTGTGGAAGCACACCTAAAACTATACAGATTCATTATGATCTAGCTGTACTGATGTTGTTATAGGTACAACATTTACCATGAGTAACAGTTTACTTGAAATGGGCCGTTGTACATGAAAACACAATTCCAAAGCATGTTTGTGGCCTATGAGTCAATATATAGACCTCAGCATAACATAACACAGGCCCCTGCCATACGGCAGGGAAAACACGAGGCGAAGCGCGGCTTTTAAAAGCCGCGCCAAAAAAGAAATGCCGCGGCGGGATCCCACAGATCCTGTTAGCCGCGCGCCGTTGCTCCCCGGCACGATCAGATGCTGGGGAGGAAGAGGCGAGTGGGAGGGCGAGGCTGCCGAACTGCGCATGCTCGAGCATGCGCAGTTCGGCTGGGGGCCGGGATGTGCCGGCACAAGGACATGCCGGCCGATCCCATGGCCGGCTTGAGGCGCTTCAATCGGAAGAACCACCCAGGTAGGTGGTTCTTTTTGGTGCGGGTTTTCGGCCGGGAGGGACGGATCGGAGACAGGCAGGCAACAATTCCCAGATGTTGCCGTGGGATCGTGCCTGTTTGATCCGCCCCCGTTCTGTCTCGCTCCCGGACCAAAACCCCTCGTATGAACAGGGCCACAGAACAGCAGCAATCCATCTCCCACTATTACATGCACAATCCGCAAGAGTTACCTTGATTTGCATTAAAAGGCTCATGGTGGGTGTAATTCAGAAGCCAAAGACAAGTTTAAATTAACAACAAAAAAAAGTTCATTGAGCTTAGAAGTCCAGTTGTGAACATGCTGGTTACAAATAAAATAGCTATTTCATAGACTGGGTGCCACCGCTAAAGTGTACAGTATGATCAGTTGTATGTTTGATTCCATAATAAGAAAATATAATTGTCCGATACAGTCATTTCATTCTACCTGATGAAAACACTTTTCGCAATCTGAAATTTCCAAATGGAAACAACGTGTACCAATGACCATAACTCGCCTCCCTGAGTACAAAGGTCTGGTTCAAGCCCCTAATGCTATAAGGGCAGCAAGGGAGCCTCAGACAATGACGACAAGAACCTTGGGATCCCCTGCCAATGTGAAGAATGCCTTGCTATCTTGTGCAGACTTTGCCTCTAACTTTCACAGGCAATTAAAAACAAAAACACAGGCGGCTGTTTTCCTGTTTGTTGACATTAACTGATTCTTGTTGGAGAGCTTATCATCATAGTGTCCTTTTAATTGTTGGCATCAGCCCTGAAGTACCAAATTAACATTTATGTGGTAACATCATATTCAAACAGAAAAAAAGAGAAATTAACATTGCAATCAGTCCTAAGCAAAGTATCTCTGGTCTAAGGCCATTGATTCCAATGGGCTTAGGCTGGGTTAACCTCACTATCAAAGAATGTTAGGGGAGAATGGGTTACAAAAATAACATTTAAAATGCCTGCCTCATTAGCAGCCCCAAAACAACAGAAGTCAGGGCACACTTGATCTTATCACATACTTTTTACACCTTTAGATTTAACAAGCAAGGGATCCACAAAGACTTGGGGTGTGTGTGTGTCTCAT